AAAAAAAAAAAAAAAGAATAGACTGTAAGGGCAAGGCAGAGGCTGGGAGGCCAGTGAGGAGACTATTATAGACACCAGGGTGAGAGACGCTCGTATGACCCATCATCCCATCTAATCATCACAACTGTGCAATCATTACAGTTGGGCTTCGTGTCATGATAAAACGTGTGGGGTATAGAAAGCGTTGCAAGAAGGCATTGTTGAACTCTGTGGGAAGCTTGGCGAGATGACTCTTGAGCAGGGGTGGGCACTCTAACCCCCCGCCACCTATTCCTGTAAACCAAGTTTTCTTGGAACACAGCCACATCATTCGTTCACACGCCTATGCTGTCTACAATGGCAGAATCGAGGAATTGTGACAGAAACCGCATGGCCCACAATGCCTGAGACATTTCTATCTGGCCCTTTAGAGAAAAAAAAAATGTACCAACCCCTGTTCATAAGTTGAGTTTCAAAGGTTGAATAAGAGTTTGCCGGCTGGATTGGGAAAGTCAAAACATTCCGGGTGGGAAGGACTGTTTGGGCAAAAGTCCACACATCACAAGATTGTATGGAGGGTCTGGGGAACTACGAGAGGCTGAACATTGCTGGAATCCAGTGTGTGAGCAGGTGAGTGGGCAGTGAGCCACAGAGTTCAAGCATGAAGGTTCTCCAGTGCCACACTGAGGATGCGGACCTTGCCCCCTGCAGCCAGTGGGAGCCCCAGTCGGATGACAGGCAAATGATGTGGGGGAAAAAATCCCCCTGTTGCTGTAGAGAGGTGAGCAGGGGGGACAGAGACCACAAGGCAGCTGTGTAATGATTGCACTAATTATATGGCTTCCGAGTTGGGGGGAGGGGGCACCATCGAGGCTTGTGCCCCCTGGAAGGGAATGAGTGCAGGTGATCTTGGGCCCTGAGGCAGCTGCAACGTGTGTTCCCATCGCAAGGAGGAAAGCCAGTCCTGGCCAGCAAAAGCAGGACTTGCCCACCCTGAGCTGGGCTGAGGGGCCCCCAGGACAGACTGTGGCCTGAGGAGAGGGTGGTTCTCAGGGCCAGGGGACCAGGGAAGCTTTGCCAAGAAGCTAGCCTGAACCTGGATCCTGAAGAGTGGGGAGTGTTTGCCGAGGCTGAGCGGAGGGCATTTCAGGCAAAGATGGGGGACCTGTACCGGTGATCGCGCAGAGTCTAGCCTCTCGGGATGGGGTCTAACACGGGGTTCTTGGGGGTCAGAGTGCACAAGGTCTTCATTCCTTTCTTCTTTCTCCTGCGCTTCTCATCCTCACTTCAGTTTCCCCAGCCAGTGCTGATGAGGCACCTACTACGTGCACAGCCTCACTCTTGGTGGGGTGGGGGCACGAAAGATACGTCTGTTCCTGTCCTTAGGGTTTGCAATTTAATACAAACTTGCCTCAAATCCACAGATAATTGTTTGTTGTAAGGAAGCACTGGACTAGAGGCAAATACGGTTTTCCTAGAGAAATCACAAAATTACAAGGGATCGCGTCCAGACTACCAGGCAGGCTAGACTAGGGAGTGCTGTAGTAACAAACAACCCAACCCCAAATTGCACTG